TTTTCCCCGACCCTCCTGCGTTGGGTTCTCGTTTTGAATAGAGCACTGCTCGCGCGTTTCTTTTCTTCCTTCCCGCCCTTCTTTTCCCCCTTGCCTTTTGCCTCGCTCGTCGCTGCGTGCCACCCCTGGGGGGCTGCGATCTGTGAAACTGTCGCCACTTTCGAGGGCTGCTGGGGGGCCCAGCACAGTGGGCACTCACCGCAAACTCAAATGGGACCTCGCCATCCCTGGGGAGCTGCGATCTGTGAAACTGTCACCACTTTCGAGGGCTGCTGAGGGGCCCAGCACACTGGGTACGCACCGCAGATTCAAATGGGACCTCGCCATCCCTGGGGGGCTGCGATCTGTGAAACTGTCGCCACTTTCGAGGGCTGCGGAGGGGCCCAGCACACTGGGTACGCACCGCAGATTCAAATGGGACCTCGCCATCCCTGGGGGGCTGCGATCTGTGAAACTGTCGCCACTTTCGAAGGCTGCTGAGGGGCCCAGCACAGTGGGTACTCACCGCAGACTCAAATGGGACCTCGCCGTCCCTGGGGAGCTGCGATCTGTGAAACTGTCGCCACTTTCGAGGGCTGCTGAGGGGCACAGCACAGTGGGTACTCACCGCAGATTCAAATGGGACCTCGCCATCCCTGGGGGGCTGCGATATGTGAAACTGCCGCCACTTTCGAGGGCTGCTGAGTGGCCCAGCGCAGTGGGCACCCACCGCAGATTCAGACTCGTCCTCGCCATCTTTGGGGGGGCTGCGATCTGTGAAACTGTCGCCACTTTCGAGTGCTGCTGAGGGGCCCAGCACAGTGGGTACTCACCGCAGACCCAAATGGGACCTCGAAATCCTTGGGGGGCTGCGATTTGTGAAACTGTCGCCACTTTCGAGGCCTGCTGAGGGGCCCAGCACAGTGGGTACTCACCGCAGACTCAAATTAGACCTCGCCTTCCCTGGGGGGCTGCGATCTGTCAAACGGTCGCCACTTTCGAGGGCTGCTGAGGGGCCCAGCACAGTGGGTACTCACCGCAGACTCAGATTCGACCTCGCCATCCCTGGGGGGGCTGCGATCTGTGAAACTGTCGCCACTTTCGAGGGCTGCTGAGGGGCACAGCACAGTGGGTCCTCACCGCGGAGTCAAATTGGACCTCGCCATCCCTGGGGGGCTGCGATCTGTGAGACTGTCGCCACTTTCGAGGCCTGCCGGGGGGCCCAGCACAGTGGGTACTCACCGCAGACTCAAATTGGACCTCGCCATCCCTGGGGGGCTGCGATTTGTGAAACTGTCGCCACTTTCGAGGGCTGCTGAGGGGCCCAGCACAGTGGGTACCCACACGCAGATTCAAATTCGACCTCGCCATCCCTGGGGAGCTGCGATCTGTGAAACTGTCGCCACTTTCGAGGCCTGCTGGGGGGCCCAGCACAGTAACGCCACACGCAGATTCAAATTAGACCTCGCCATCCCTGGGGGGCTGCGATCTGTGAGACTGTCGCCACTTTCGAGGCCTGCTTGCGGGGCCCAGCACAGTGACGCCTCCCAAGTAGCTTACACATCAAGTTGATTGTCCATACAAGTTTCGGCCAACTCCTCGTTTCCATTGATACAGATGGGTTGGGTACGTCACAGGATAATTGAGCGGAGGCTTCTCCTTGGAGAGCCTCTGGGGGCCTCACCAAAGTTGTTTCAGGTTTTCTTAAGGCCTTCTGGTTGTCTCCTGGGCGTATTCTGGGGGCCTCTGGGGGTTTCCTCGGGCCACCCTGCCTCCAACCGCGGTTTCCCTGAACGACCGGGTCACGATATGGAATGCTTCGGAGTGTGTTTTGGGGCCATTTTGGGCCGCCACGGGGTTCTCTGAGGGCCATCTTGGACCCGTGTTGTGCCGTTTTGGGGCTCTCTGGAAGCCGTTTTTCGGATGGTTGTGGGGCGATTCTGGAGCCTCCCAGGCGGCTTCGGACGCCCAGAAGACCGCCGTCTTGGAGCGTCGGGAAGCCGAAAAGAGGAGAACCCCAATATTCACCAAAAACCAACAGAAAATCCATGATGTTTGCCTCTTGGGGCCTTCTTGGGACTGCTCTTGGAGGCTTCTTTGGGGCCGTCCTGGAGGCATCTTGGGCCATCTTGCGGTCACGTCGGTCACTCTTGGAGCGCTCGTGTGCTGTCTTGGGGGTCTCTGGGACGTCCCCGATGACCCCCCTGATCGCCCTAAGTGTGCTGGGGAGGCTTGGCAAAACGCCCTGCGAGGCCCGGGGGGGCACTTCGAGGCCCGTCCGGAGGGTCCCAAAGCCCCAGATCCTGGGAGTGCGGTTTTTTTGGGGGGTCCCCCCGCCTGGGCTTAAACATATATAGGAAGAGGATATATATATATATATATATATATATATATGTGTATATATATGTGTATATATATATATGTATATATATGTCGGCGGTGCGCCGTGGCACGAAACCCCCCCCCCAGCACTACCGGGGGGTTTCGTGCACTACCGGGGGGTTTCGTGCAGCCCGCACCGGGTGCCCTCAGCGGCTCAGAACACCCCCCCCTTGCCGCTTTACCGGGAGGGTTCGTGCAGGCCGCTTGCCGCTTTACCGGGGGGGTTCGTGCAGGCCGCACTGCGTCTACCTGGGCTCCCCCCCCCCTGTGGGAGTGGGGGGGTGGGAGTGGGGGGTGGGTTGGGGGGGGGGCAGGGGGGCGGTTGGGAAGGGTGGCTCCCTGTCGAAGTGTGGCGTGTGCTCGCCTTGTGTTCTCTATTCGCGTCTGCTCGCCTTTGTTCCGCCGCAGCCTCTCGTATTGTGGCTCGTGGCCACAATACGAGAGGCTGCGGCGCAACTCCCGAGAGCCGCTGTGGGGGGTCGACGGCACGGCCGCGTAGAGAAGAACAGTGCCGCCGTGTTCCGGCACGGCCCTGGGATGCAATGCCGCCGCCGTGTTCCGGCCCGTCCTGGTAAGATTCGCGCGTCGGGGCTGGGTTTCGCGCGTGCTGGGAGCGCGCTGCTTACGGAGGCCTCGGTTGCGTCCTTACCGGGGGGGTTCGTGCAGCCTGCCAGAGGAGGTAGTGTTTACCGGGGGGGTTCGTGCAGGCTCGCACCGGGAATGGCGCCAGCTCGAAACCCCCAGGAGAGATTACTGGGGGGGGGGGTTCGCTCCGCACCGGGCACCGCCGACATATATATATATATAGAGAGAGAGAGAGAGAGAGAGAGAGAGAGAGAGAGAAAGAGAGAGAGAGAGAGAGAACAAAAAAAAAAAAAGAGACAGAGACAGAGACAGAGAGAGAGAGAGAGAGCGACAGAGGGAGGAGGAGGAGGAAGAGGGGGAGGCGGAAGAGGAAATGGAGGAGGAGGGGAGGAGGAGGAGGAGGAGGAGGAGGAAGAGGAGGAGGCGTTGGAGGATTCCCCCTCGTCGGAGCTCGTAGAAATCCAAACTAGTGCGAAGGTTTCTTCCCGGGATCTGGTGCCTTCCTCTTTTCCTCTCTCTCCTTTTTCCCCCTCCACGACCCGACCCCGCCCTCCCCGTCTCCCCAAGGAGCTCCCCCAGTCGAGAAGTCCCCGACCTGATTTCCTCAGTGTTCATGCCGGAGGAGCCCGGTCGGATTCCAGGTTGCAGGTTTGCAGGTGGCCCGCTCGGATTCCAACATGGGAATGGGGCTCCCGTGCAGACGAGGTTCCCGCCTGAGACTTCCTCGCAACTCATTCACAGACGAGGCTCCCGCCTGAGACTTCGTCAAAATTCAGGCCGGAGGAGCCCGAAAATGACGACTCCTTACAAGATTCCGATGACCCGCTCGGATTACCAACGTGACATGCGGACCCCATAGGAATGGGGGCTCCCGCCTGAGATTTCTTTGCAATACACTTACAGACGAGGCTCCCGCTTGCGATTTCCTCTAGATTTCAGGCTTGAGAAGCCCAAAAGTGACCACTGTTACAGGATCCCGATGATTCGCTCGGATTACCAACATGAAGTGCGGACCCCAAAGGGAGGAGGCTCCCGCCTGAGATTTGTTCCAAATCATTCACAGACGAGGCTCCCGCCTGAACCTTCTTCAAGCAAGATTCAAGCCTCAGGATCCCAAATGCGACGACAGTTACAGGATTCCGATGATCCGCTCGGATTACTGAAATGCGGACCCCATAGGGAGGGGGGCTCCCGCTTGAGAATTCGTTGTAATACATTCACAGACGAGGCTCCCGCCTGAGACGTCCTCAAGATTCAGTCCTGAGGGGCCCAAAAGTGACGACAGTCACATGATTACGATGACCCGCTCGGATTGACAACGTGAAGTGCGGACCCCAGAGTGGTGATAGTGATGGTGTTGGTGAGTTGGTCATAGTGACGCTGGTGAGGAGGTGTGTGAATATGTGGTTGATGATGATGATGATGATGATGATGATGATGATAATGACGATGACGATGACGATGACGATGATGATTATGATGATGATGATGATGAAGATGATGATGGTGATGATGATGATGATGATGATGATGATGATCATGATGATGATGCTGATGATGATGATGATGATGATGATGATGATGATGACGATGGCGATGACGAGTGTGTGTGTGTGTGCGTGAGAGTGTCCTGGTGATTATGAATGAATGTGTGTGCGTGCTGCTATGATAATGCTGCTGATGATGATAATGGTGATGGTGGTACTGATGATGATGAGTGTGCAGAAGAGGTGGGAGGTCATCCTGCGCGGAGGTGTGCAGAGAAAGCAAAAAAAACGCAGAGGATGTGGGGAAACATGAAACTAACAACAAGAATAATCATCATAATATCTACCCTCATCCTCATCACCGTCACCATCATCATCATCACCATCATTTTCATCATCATCATCATCAGCATCAGCATCAGCATCAGCATCATCATTATCATCATCATCATCATCATCATCGTCATCATCATCATCAACATCAACATCATCATCATCATCATCATCATCATCATCATCATCATCATCATCATCATCATCATCATCATCATCATCATCATCATCCGTAGCCCTTTTGGCTCAAGCCATTTGGGGTCAAGCCGCGTTGGGTCAAGCTGTTTGACTTGAGGTGCTGGCTGAAGCACACACGCCGCGCGCCTCAGGAGCTGGTGACGCACGCCGATCGCCCCAGCCTCGGCTGGGCTAACGCGCCCGGCAGGGCCGATGGCGGCCGCGCCCGCGGCCTTGATGGAGCGCCCGGAGCACCCGTCCCCCGCCGCGAGCGGCCAGCGAGCGAGCGCGCCCGGGGCGGCGCAGGGCGCGGCGCGGCCGTGGCCTTCCATGCTCGGAGGCCTGTGCAGCTGGAGGGTGGTCGTGAGGAACACCTTCCTGCACGTCCAGGATGCCGCCGCGGAGGACATGGCCCTCCGGAGCCTGCGCACCTCGTCGTCGGCGCCTGCGTTGCTGAGCCCGTGGGCGGGCCCGGGGGTGCCGATCGGGGAGCCGCCGTCGCCGAGAGGCGCCGAGCGGCGCACCACCGTGATGTTCCGCAACGTGCCCTACGTGTTCACGCGTGACATGTTCGTGGAGCTGCTGAACTCGCAGGGCTTCCGAGGACAGTTTAACCTGGTGTATGTGCCGATGGACTTCAAGACGAACCAGACGCGCGGCTACGCGTTTGCAAACGCGATCTCCCATGGGAGTGCCCTTCGCCTCTTCGGCGCGTTCGAGGGCTTCCGGGCATGGCCTCAAAGGAGCTCGAAGGTGTGCAGCGTGTGTTGGAGCACCCGGCAGGGCCTCGACAGAAACGTCGAAGCTTACCGCAACCTCGAGGTCATGCAGGCGAACCTCCCCGACGCCTGGAAGCCGGCCTTGTTCTCGGAGGCTGGCCAAGTGCCCTTCCCCGAGCCCACGCGGAAGGTCACGCGCAACTGCAAGAAGCTCTGCGGCACTGGCGGTGCTCCACAGATCTGAGAGGTGCGCGGCGGAGGTGGACTTGCAACAGCGCGACCCAGGTCTGGTCCGATGGTGGAGGTTGTGGTGGGAGGGGTCAGACGGTAGTTGCGGGCATTGGGGGAGGTGGGGGGGTAGAGCAGGCGTTTCCGGCTGAAAGTGTCGCCAGCACGCTTGCCTCGAGCGAGCAGTGCCACGACCCGCTGGCATCCCCAATCTCGGGGGTAAGTTTTCGAATGACGGAGTCCATGCTGTCTCTCGTGTCTCAGTTTCTGCCCTCTCATCGTCCTCTCCTCCTCTGTGGGCCGCTGTGCGGATCTGCCGCGCGCGAGCCTGCTGACTCAAGGGCACGTGCCACTGCACGTACAACTTTCTGCTTATGTTTTTCCCCATGTCCTAAGATGGGGCTATTCTTATTGTTTTCACCGCGCCAGAAGGACAGTTACACCAACACCTGACTCATCGCTCAGACTGTTATGTCAGGCTATGCTATGTGATGATGATGCTGATGATGATGGCGATGATGATGGTGGTTGTGATGATGGTGATGATGATGCTGATGATGATGGTGATGCCGATGATGATGGTGATGATGATGGTGGTGACGATGATGACGATTAAAATATTGATGATGACGATGCTGCTGCTGATGATGATGATGGTGATGGCGATGATGACGTTGATGATGATGATGATGATGATGATGATGATGATGATGATGATGATGATGATGATGATGAGAATGATGTGGTGATGATGATGATACTGATACTGATACTGATACTGATGCTGATGCTGATGCTGATGATGCGAATGATGTTGTTGATGATGATGATGATGATGATGATGGTGATGATGATGATGATGATGATGATGATTATGATGATGATGATGATGATGATGATGATGATGATGATGATGATGATGATGATGATGATGATGATGATGATGATGATGATGCTGGCGGAACAGATTCTGAGGATGTCTCGAGCGAGGCGCGGGTTTCCGCCCCCCCAAACGGGAAGCCGCCAGGGGGTATCTCACTCCGCCGTTTGCGCCAAAATGACGGGGATGTCTCAAGCGGTTTGCCTGTGTGTCCCCCCAACATCCTCCGCTTTCGGAGCAGATTTTGAGGATGTCTCGAGCGAGGTGCGGGTTATCGCACTCCTGGTGGCCCCGATTGCGAGGATGTCTCGAACGGTTTGCTTGTTTTGCTAGCCAGACTCGTGGGCGTAGATCCTCAGGATGCCTCAGGAGCTCCAGCAGGCTCCAGGAGGCCACATGAGGTCCCAGGAGGCACCAGGAGGCCACAGGAGGCCCCAGGAGGCCACAGGAGGCCACAGGAGGCTCCAGGAGGCCCCAAGAGGCTCTAGAAGGCCCCAGGAAGCACCTGGAGGCCCGAGGAGGCCACAGGAGGCCACAGGAAACGCCAGGAGGCACCAGGAAGCCCCGGAAGGCCCAGCCCCAGGAGCAGGAGGCCTCAGAAGGCCACAGGAGTTGCTCCAATCCCCGGCGTTTTACATGTGTTTCTATAGATGGGGCCTCCCTTGGAGTGCAAATCCTTTGTGTTGACGTATGTTTCTATCTTGTGTCTTTCTCCTGCGTATCCACTCCTCAGTGTTTTACGCGTGTTCCTATTGATTGCCCCTCCCCTGTGGCTTCAATCCGAAGTGTTTTACGTCTGTTTCTATAGATTCGGCCTCTCCTGGGGCACGACTCCTCCCCAGGAGGCCCCAGGAGGATCCAGGAGGCTCCTGGAGGCACCAGGAAGCCACGCGAGGCCCCAGGAGTCCTCAGGAGGCCTCAGGAAGCCCCAAGAGGCCACAGGAGCCCCCAGGAGGCTCGAGGAGACACCAGGAAGCCCCAGGAGGATTCAAGAGGCCCCAGGAGGCCCCAGGCTCATGCGCAGAGACGCACTAATACGACTGAGACTCATTCACACTCCAACTCATTCACAGTTAGATTGATTTTTAGATTGTGAATACTCAAGCCCGCTTCTATTCGAAAGCTCTTGCGCCTAGACACTCACGGCGGACAGGCCCATGCTAACAGATGCACATATGGGGAGCTCCAGGCGGTGAGTACTTGCTAAACCTGCCTCCGAGGGTATTTCGACAGGGCCGGCCATCCCTGTGCGCCCATCACCCGCACAAGGCCTGCCTGCAGCAGCCCATGGGGTGCGGGTCGACTGGCGCCCAGCGGTCGCACGCAGCTTCTCTTTTTGTTTCTCCCTTGCCCAGCGGCGGCGCCGAACGGCAGAGAGGCGCGGCGGGTGAGCACGCAGCCCGCGCGCGAGCTTCCCGAGCATCGAATTCATCCCGCGGCCCAGGGCGCCGCACCGAGCGCCCCCGCGCGGCCTCGAGGCAGGACGGCCTCGCGACCGCCGGCCCGGGCCGCGGGCAGCAGCAGCCAGAGGTTGCCGCTTTCCGCGGCAGCGCGGCGGCCCGGCCCGCGCTCGGCGATCGCCGCCGACCGCGGCCGGGCGGGCGCAGACGCCCCGCAGCGCACGCAGGCCACCCAGGGCCTTGCGCGGCGGCGTGGAGCTGCCAGGCCTGCCCCGCGGACAGGGCGGCGCAGCGGGCACTGCCGCCGTCGCCGCGCGCGTTGCCCGGCTGCGCCAGTGCTGCAAGGCGGGAGGCCCTGCGGCGGCGCGCCGCGGCGGTCTGCGGGCCCGAGGCGCCACGCCTGCGCCGCTGTGGATGTTGTAACGGTATCAAGAAGGTGCGGTGGAGGGCGGAGGTAATGGTGCGCGCCAACTGCGTTTCGCACGGCGTGTTTGGCAGTAGTTGCACGCTGCATCCGCTGAGGCAGGGAGGTGCCTACGAGTTGAATCATCCTTTGCGCAGCTGGTGCTCGGCGTCAGCCCTCTCCAGCGCTGCCAGCGCTCACTGGTCGGGGCCAAAGAGGCTTGGCGCAGGTTGCCTGCTGGGTCTCTGCTGCCTGAGGGCACGGAAATGTTGACAATAGCAAGTTCCATTGGCAATTCTAGACGCTCCGCGTAACCCCACCAGCCCATCCAGAAACGGTGCCCAGAGGAATTGCCTCGATCAGGGAAGTGGGCAGCACGCAGAGGAAGGGTCCCCCAGTGGAGGCCTCTTGGAGCGTCTTGGGGGCGTCTTGGCCGTCCCGGACGCCTCTTAGAGCGTCTTGGATGCCTTGGAGAGCTTCTTGGGGGGTCTTAGGGGTCTCTTGGGCGCCTCTTGGAGGCCTCTTGGGCGCCTGCGGCCTCCTGGGGCCTCCTGGGCGCCTCTTGGGGTCCTCTTGACGCGCTCTTGGGAGCCTTGTGAGCGCTCTTGGGGAAATCTTGGACGACATCGATCAAACAAGAGGGGAGCATTAATTAGCGTTGCCCCTCGGGAGCCCAAAAAGTCGCCTCTTGGGGCGCTCTTGGGGCGCTCTTGGAGCGCTCTTGGGGCCGTCTTGGGGCTCTCTTGAGCCTCTCTTGGAGCCCTCTTGGGCCATCTTGGAGCCATTCTCGAGGCCTCGGATGGCCATCGGAAGCGAAATGGCGAGAAAGCCAAAAACCATGATTTTCCATGGGTTTTGGAAGGATGTTGGCCTCTTCGTGGCCTCCTCGGGGAGCTCTTTGGCCACATGGAGCCGTCTTGGAGCGGTCTTGGGGCCTCTTGGAGCATCGTGGGAGCCATCTTGAGGCATCTTGGGATATCTTGAGCCATCTTGGAGGTCGTCTTGGGCTCTCCCAGGCGCTCTTGGAGTCATCTTAATCAGTGCCCCCCCCAGGAGGCCAAAATGTAGACAAAACCTTAGTAAAATCAATGATTGTGGCAGTCTCGCCGAGGCCTCTTGGAGCGTCTTGGGTGCCTCTGGGGGGCCTCTTGGGGCCTCTTGGGGATCTCTTGGGAGCCTCTTGGGGGCATCCTGGGGGCCTCTTGGGGGCCTCTTGGGGTCAAATGGCCACCGCTTGGGGCCCTCTTGGGGCACCCTTGGGAGCCTTGGGAGCGCTCACGGGGCCATCTCGGAGGAGATCGATCAAAGAAGGGGGGGTCCTTTTTTGGGGGCCCCCCTCCAGGAGGCCGAAATGGGGCCAAAGCCTTTGTAAAACCAGTGATTTGGGCTTCCTCGCCGAGGCCGTTTTGGAGGCTCCAGCTACCCGCAGAGCCCCCCGTCCAGGCCCAGGGGAGGGGGCAGGGGGAGGGGTGAATCCCTCCCCGAAGGGGAAGAGGGGGGTGGGAAGAGGAAGCTCCCTGGAGGAGGGAGGAGGAGGAGGAGGAGGAGGAGGAGAGGAGGAGGAGGAGGGAGGAGGAGGAGGAGGAGGAGGAGGAGGAGGAGGAGGAGGAGGAGGAGGGAGGGAGGAGGGAGGAGGAGGAGGGAGGAGGAGGAGGGAGGAGGAGGAGGAGGAGGAGGAGGCGGAGGAGGAAGGAGGAGGAGGAGGAGGAGGAGGAGGAGGAGGAGGGGAGGAGGAGGAGGAGGAGGAGGAGGAGGAGGAGGAGGAGGAGGGGGAGGAGGAGGAGGAGGAGGAGTGGCACGACCTTCTTTTCCGGCCTGGCCTCGACCTCGGCCCGCCCAGAGCGGTCTCCCCTGGGCGCGCGGGCGCGCGAGCCGCTGTGGCGGCCACAGCAAGCCCTCCTCCTCCTCCTCCTCCGCCTCCTCCTCGGGGGCGCGAGGCTTCGGCTCTAGCGGCGGGGGTGCGCCTCAGAGCTTCACGCCTGCCAGGCTCCGATCTTCCCCCGGTCCGCCACCGCGGGCACGAGGGGAAGGGTGGGCCGGAGGGCACGAGGTGACGGGCAGAGGGACGGGGGAGCACGAGGGAGCGGGACGAGGTGACGGGCAGGGCACACGACGAGGTGACGGGGTGAGGGACGAGGGACGGCACGAGGTGAGCGGGCACGAGGTGACGGGCAGAGGGCCGCCACCGCTGGCCCGCTGCGTGGACAGCGGGGCAGCGAGAGTCCGCAGAGCCATTCACTTTTCCGACGGCTCCGTCGAGTCATGCCGTCGGTTTCACCCCGCGCCGGGACTCATTAGCAGCCTGAAGCATATCCCTGCCCCTAAGAAAGTCCTCTCCTGATCCATGTGCAGATCTGAGGGCACATCCTTGACGTTGTCATCGTTGTTGGCTTG